TAGTAACAAGAAGCTACTAGGAGCAAAGGGCATCGCTACTAGGAACAAAGGGCATCGCTACTAGGAACAAGTGCCTTACTAGTAGTAACAAGAAGCTACTGGGTCTGCTAGGTGTGAATGCTCAGAGGAATGCTCAGCATGTTCCACCGATCTCTCCACCTCTTCTCATTTGAATTTATGTTCTAAAAGTTAGCAAAAATGACTCACACGTCACTATTCACATAGTTCTTCAAAAAGCCTCAGCTACAAATCTGAACTTTAGGGGCTCTGTGAGTCTTAGGTTGGCAACACTCTCAGTCTAGGAATGTTCTCTGCCAGCTCTGCTCTCTAGGCTTCATCTTGTGCACAGTTCCATCACTCCTTCTACTACAACTGGAATAGCTCTCAAGCTCAACTAGAAAACAGTTTCTGGCTATAGAAAGACATTTCGACATGGCCGTAGGCCCCGAGCACGATTGGCAAAATTCATACAAACCTAACGATTACTTAAATGAACGAAAATAATATAGACCTCCCAGCCATGTGACTAAATGACCAGCTCGCGGAAGCCAAATCACGCTGCCCAGGTTCCTTTCCGTGTCCTCCTCTTCCTCTTCAGGTTGTGCCGCCTTCTCGGCCCGCTTAAGACCTGACACATGTGCCCGTTGGTGGGCAAGGTAAAGCTCCTCGTCTGTAGCCAAGCGATCAGCCACTGTCAGGGTTCCTAGCCACAATCCACGGCCAGTGATTCCTGCACTCTCAAGTCTGATTCAATACGAAAACAAAGTGCGAAGCTACTAGTAACAAAGGGCATCGCATGGCATCACTACTAGGAGCACGGACGCTATGAAAGGGGCTCCTGGCCTTGGAGGCCGCTAGGTTTAAGGACCTGTCTGCCCCGCTGATTTCGCTTCGCATCCCTCACCACCCGGTCCACAAAGGCAGGCATTCAATCGCTTTGGATGATCTGGGTGGTCAGATTCCTGAGGACTTGGTAGGTTGAGGTGTGGTAGCTAGGTAGGACTTGGTTGGGCATAGTTTTCGAAATCCGGCGAGCACGTCTTCACGTACAAATGATGGCCTCCAACCTACTAGCGATGGCCTCCACCCCAAGAGCGATGGCCTACTTGGAGTTCGAGGGTCTGTGAATGCTTCATGCCTGGGAAACCAACTTGCACATGAAAGGGCAGCGGCTATTGGCTGGTTCAGCTGCCGCCGTCTTTTCTCTGCTGCAGTCTGCAGGCGTTGAGCTCGCCGCTTCCTATCTGGGGTGATGACGTCACTTTGCCGCCTCTTTTGCGCCATGGCATTCAAAGTGCAGATGACTTCAGAATATAAACTGAACACTGAAAAACTGAGCATGCGGAACGGAGTCAAAATGAGTCAAACGGGTGATGAACACTGAACACCATTGGACACCAAACCTCCCCTGGAACGAGTTTTGCATCTAAAATGAAGAAGAAATTGGCGTTGCTGAAATTCATGAACTCGGCTTTACATTTCTCAACGAGCTGAGTCTGAGACAACATGCAGTGAACCGTCCGGTCGACGTCCGATGCATCGGGTGCGGCGTAGATCCGGCCATCTCCACGTCAGTAGCAGGTGCATCGCTAGTAGTAACGGGTGCCTTACTAGTAGTAAGAAGAAGCTAATAGAATTAAACTAAACTAGATTGAATTGGAATTAAATAAATTGGAATTAATGCAACCTACTCGCGGGTACAAAAGGACCTATACCTGAAGTTCTCAATAATTCTAATTTAATTCCGCTACATTATAATTTAGGCCAAAATCTTTACCGTTCGATTCGAGACTTCTCTCCCTCTCCAACACTTTCTTTACAAAAATCTTTACCAAACCTCATCAAGCCCTACCCCACGCGGCTCCAAATTCTACTGCTGCCCCTTCTAAGCGGTAGAACTCTTCCTCTCTGCACATTGTCCACTCATTGCTCTTAGGTTGGAGGCCATCGCTAGTAGGTTGGATACCTCTTCGTCTCAACTTCCACTGGGAGATCTTCGTGTCTCAACTTACGGTTTTCGGCTTTGCTCGCAACTTTTTTTAAGATGCTCCTTCCTGGTCACAGCCAGGCGCTTCAACGCAGCATCACCCAAGCAGGAATACCTTGAGCGGCAACACGCATAAAATGCCTAGGGCGTCCTTGTTACTAGTAGTTTAGGCCAGGAGCCATCCGTCGAGCCAAGGCACGGGGTAACCATGCAGTAGACCACAATTGACACCAATACGGCGGACAGCCAAATCCATAAAGTGTAGCCCATCACCTTCACCGATCCCAAACAAATCGAATCACCAGTTCCACATCTGACAATCTGAAGTCTCAATGAGTCTCAAAAGGGGTCTGAAAGGCGCATGAAGGTTGGAGGATGGAGGCCATTGCTCTTAAGTTGTCTCAAAGGCGCATGAATGTGATGGAACTCGATGGGCATCAACAAGAGCCGCCCACCTTGCTGACCCCGACGTCCGGCAGTCGCCATGCTAACCCCGCACTCTCAGACCCCTAGTAGCGTCCGATCGCTCCTAGTAGCGTCCTTGTTACTACTAGTAAGGCACCTGTTACTACTAGCGTGGCACTTGTTCCTAGTAGCTTCTGGTTACTAGTAGTAAGGCACTTGTTACTAGAAGCGATGCACTTGTTCCTAGTAGCGTCCTTGCTCCTAGTAGCGATGCCAGGAGCCCCTAGTAGCGTCCTTGCTCCTGCCAAGATACGAATGTAATGAATCACAAAAATATTCGATAAATTGATGCCTCAAGGTAAAGCAAATCAAGGTCTTCGCCCTCGACTGAACAGCATGGACAAGTGTTCGGAGAGAATCCCGGCTTACAATTGCAGGTAAGGCACCCAAAGAAAGCCTGGACGCCAACAGGACCCACCTATTGGCAACAGCAGTGTGAATTTTTGGAAGCAACGGTGAAACTGAGACTGAGGACAAAAATGTCAAAAGGAAAGGGCGGGTGTTACTTTCGTAGCAATGGCCTCCAACCAAAGAAAAATGGCCTCCAACCTAAGAACCTCCAACTTAAGAACGATGGCCGTTACTTTCTTTTTGGATTCTCGTTACCTATTGTGTTCTCTGAATCCGATGCCAAGTCTATGCACATCTGAACGTATGTGCTTCGGCCACCAGCTGGTAGACTCTGCCGCTTCTCGCTCTTTCTCCATGCTGTTCAGAAGCAGCGCCTCGCTTTTGATCCACAACAACAATTTCGGCCACAAATCACATCAAAACTTGCACAAAAACAAGTGTTGCTAACCTAACATCACAGTCAGTGCAGTGGAGAAAGCGGCGGGGAATATTGGCGACGTTGAAAGACTTAGAATTTTGCTTGGCACTGTCATAAGACCCCTCGGTGTACAGGATTATAATAAATTAAAGCAATTTGTAAAATATACTACTTGGATCAAACATGCTGATTGAGATAATTACTTCCAATGTGAAAGGAATTCAGAGCCAAAGTTTGGCTAAATACAACAATTACTCTTTGTGTGGCAACTACACTCAGTCAACTTATAGAGCGATAAGTCAAACTATCAATTGACACCCTCCCGCACTGTAGTTGCTTTCGTTCGAACATTTCCTATGCAGTAGGCTTCATGTACTGAGGAGCCGACTATTCCAACTGCATGAAGGCAATTGCTCAGAATAAAGCTCCCAGCTTTGTACGGAGAGAAGACCATTTCAGCCACTGACGGGGCATTGTCATAGAGCTGTGATAAAGAAAACGGTTCAAGAAGGTTTAATCCTTGCATTGCATTCATTGCATGCGTCCTCTGTCTTTCACAAACAAAATACATCAAGCCGTAGCAAGTCATTGCACTACAGCTTTCGTGAAAGAGTTCCGAATCTTCTTGACTTGGTGCCTGTCACGGGCTTTTGTTCGTCCACCACCTGAGCAAAAATTACAGCTCAAAATCTCAAGCAAAAACTACAGCTCTGTATTTCACACTGCTTTGCTGGTCTGCCTCTGTTGGCGGCAGCCTGAGTGAATGAAATTGAAGGAAAATGTCTGAAACTTTCTAAGGTGTGGCTTGCCAAGAACGTGACATGAAATCAAGCATAGATTCAAACATGTTCTTCATATCATGCCTGGCAACCACATGGTCAACTCAAGTCCTTGGTGTTCCTTAAATGAAAAATTTGCTCCTAGTAGTGAGGCCCTTTGCTCCTAGTAGCGTCCTTGCTCCTAGTAGCGATGCCCTTTCTCTTAGTAGTGTCCTTTGTTCCTAGTAGTTAGGCCAGGAGCTCCGTTTTCCTTATTATATCCTGTCTTTAATCCTGCCAAGTGTCACAAGCCAATCGACCTAGCACACGACTCCACAATCCGGCAAAGCGACACCGAAAGCGCAGGAAGTGCGGTGCAAACCGGACATGCGGAAACCCAAACAAAGCTAGTAGTAACAAGGGCATCGCTAGTAGCAACAAGGACGCTACTAGGGGCTCCTGACCTTACTACTAGGAGCAAGGACGCTACTAGGGGCTCCTGGCATTGCTACTAGGAGCATTCTGTAACTCAAATAATAAATGTTTGTTTATCTGCTATAGGCTATAGTTATTGCCCTATTAATTAATCTGCTCTCTGGATGCCATCTGAGCAGCAAAGAGCGACAACGCTACAAGTGTTGCGGCAACACTTCGTCCAGCTCTGAAGCAGTTCGGCACCTCTCAATGTGGCTTTCACCAGTGCTCTCGTTTCCAATTCTGTGCTTGCTGAAAGCTGAGTACTTCATAGTACTTTTCACATTGGAAGTAAACAACGACAACGCAAAACAACTGAGTTTACAGCGTGGGGCCATGACTAGCCCGAACACCCTGAGGGCCCCACCAGGGCGCACAGAAGTGCTCCGGGTAAAAGGTGGGCTGTCGTCATGCCCACGAAGCGATGACCCGCTCGAAAGCCCTGGCGAAGCGGCTCGTTCAAGCGCTCACCAATGCCAAGGAATAGCAATGGCTCCAACCTAGTAGCGTCCTTGCTACTAGTAGTATCTAGTAGTAATGCCCTAGCTACTAGTAGCGTTCTTGTCACTAGTAGCGATGCCCTTGTTACCTACTAGCGATGGCCTCCAACCTAAGGCCAATAATTTCAATAGATTCAGACTCAAGCTGGGCAGAAATTCAAGTCCTGAAGGTTCTGCTGCATATTTGCTAGCCTCCGGGAGGTTTTGCTACATACTTTCATTGCCCCTGAGAATTCTTCTACATACCTTTGGCCTCTTGAAGGTTCTGCTGCATACCTTTTGGTCCCCTGAAGTTTCTGCTGCATAACTTCTGGCCTCCTGACCATTCTGCTTTTGGTCCCCTGTCGACTTTGCTATATTTATTGGCCTGCTGAAGGTTCTGCTGCATAGTTTTACGAATTTTTACATAACTAATTTGGCCTCCTGGAAATTTTTCTATATACATGACATAACTGTTGGTTGCCCAAAGGTTCTGCTACATAACATTTGGCACCCCGCATGTTCAGCTACATAGCATTTGGTGTCCTGAAGGTTCTGGGGGCTTAAAGTTACGAGCAGAATTGTCAAAATCTCGAAAACAAGCTGGAAGTTGCTAATGCGTAGAACAGCCGTCGAAAATCAATGGTGGAAGTTGCCAAAATGTAAAGTGGTGCTTGAAAATCCATTGGGGAACGGGAACCATGCGTGCGTAGACCTGACGCGTCGCTGGATTTCAACGAGCCTTGGTGTTACATTGTTGCATCTAGTGTGGGGCGCAGTGTGCCGATATTACGTTTCCGATGTCGCTGCGCCATGCGGTTTTGTGCGGCCTCGGTGGAAAGTCCATTTGCGTGGCTCCTCCTGTTTAGCTCCTCTCATGAGTGCACAGGTACATCTGGGGCTTAACTTTACATCTTGGCATTAGCGCCATAGTGATCATCATCATTGACATCACCATCATCCGCGTCATCCTCCTCGTCACCGTGAACTTGAGTCATCTCCTACTGTGCTTTCTGGCCACCCCGTTGTCTAACTTTTCTATGTTCATCTTCTCTTCACATTTTCTTCCGCCATGTTCTTTCCTTGCTTTGTTTTGGGATCAATGTCTACTCCAATGCGTTCTCAACTGCTTCGGCCCTCTCGGCTATCTCGGCCCTCCTGCCTCATGGAGGATCTCTGGTTGCCACCAAAGGCCCAGCGCAGTCAAGGTGATGGCAGCAGCTGTTGAGCCCATGTGGCCCACCAAGGGGCCTCAGGAGCTAACGCAAAGAAAAAAAAGGTTGATGAAAAGTAACTGTCAAAAAGTCCGCCCGAGAAGAAAATGAGAAAGTGAAAGTAGAAGTGGAAGCGAAGGGGAGGGGAAGAGAAGGGAATGAAAAGGAAAAGCCAAAGCGCAAGGAAAGGAAAGAAAAGGCCAGGAAAGGAAAGAAAAGGAAAGGAAAGGCAAGGAAAGGACATGGAAAATGGAAAATGGAAAAAGGACAAGAACAAGGAAATGAAAAAATGAAAAAGGACATGAAAAGGAAAGGAAGGGCAGAGGCTCTAAAGCTCAGGCACACAGCTTTACGATTCTTTTGTGGGCTGAGCAAATCTAAATTCTACGCAAGCGTAAGCCCAGATAGCAACAAATATTGGCACCCAAGCTCCAAAAGCACACCCCCATGGACAGAAGCGTCGACAGCACCCAAGCTCCAAGGTGCATACGGCCATGACATCTCGCAGCATACCACCACTTTGCCAACCACCCTACCTCCACCAGCACTACCCCACCACCATCACCACCACCGGGGCAAAATGAAACACCGATCCAGAGCCACACCATTGAGAAGTGAGCCCCTATCGCTTGCAGCTGGGAAAAACAATCGTGAGACGTCAAAAGATCGGGCTCTGAGCTTCCAACCAAAGCGGCCAAAGCAATGCTGCACCAGCCCTACTCCTGGGGTGCCCAAAGCTTATCCAAATGAAGAGCAGCCTTAGGGCCTTGCTTGGGAATTGCGATTGATGTTGCAATTGATTGGAGTCTGCTCGAAACCCACGTCACAGCGATATCACCTTCACTCCAGTTCTCTGACCACACTCTGCAACACACTCAGTCCTGCAGCCAACACGCTGACGGCAAAGAGGTTCTCAAATATCTGGCCATTGCAAAGATGTCTCATGATGCCTCTTACTTCTTGGACTGACAACTTGCCCCGGAAGCCTTAGCAGAACCTAGTTCACCGTATTTCACCTTGCGATGCAATTACCTCGTCCCTTCACACTTTCGCCTGAAACTGGCTTGCAGAGTAATGTGTGAGGTTTCATTCCGGCGCTCCATTCAAGCCGCTCCCCACAGTCACGCCTGCATATTATGACACACCGTCACAGCAGGCGCATAAAGCTTCAGAGCCGCGTTCACCGGCCTCAAAGAGCGGAGCAAACGGCACACCGGAGCGTCATAAAAAACTAAACATCTACTCCGGGGAAAATAGACCAGAGCTCAATTTTAAGTGCGAGTTAATATGGGCCACTGGGAACGGTGACTTCCTGGGGAGACGGTATTTGCGTTTTTCGGGCAAGTTCCGGACACTCACTAACATGGACCATTCCCACTCTCAGTGTATGATCGATCGGCTCTGACACTAACATGCACCAACTGCAATCTGACTATAAACTGAACGCAGGCCAACATAGACCGCGCCAGTAGAGGTCAACATAGCCTGGTGGAGGCCAACATAGACCATGCCAAATACCCGTACGGCCCACCATGGCATATCTGAATTTGGTCTAGGTTAGTCTGAACGGTGTCCGCTCCGAAACTAGACTAACATCGTGTGCCACGATTTTTGTTGCCTCAAGTGTTGGTCTTCTCCGGTGTAGATGTATTGGGTGCCAAAGAGATTTAGAGGTCTAGAGGCCTTGAGATCCACAGAGGTCTTGAAACATTTGGTTCAAAGGTCTTGAGGTCCAGAGAGGTCTGGATGTCTCTGGGTCTGCGCCCGCTCCCAGTTCGTGAACCGTAAATTAGCCGCACATGGCGAGCACCTCGATCACACACCCGGCAACTCTTGCCGTAAGAATACCTATTAGGTCTGCCGCGCCCTTTCGAAGCTTGCAATCGAAACCCTGCCTGACAAGCCGAAAACTAAACGTTACATGTCACAGAGTGAAGTGAACTGCCTGACTCAAAATTCGCGACCAGCCCTAAACATCACGTTCCAATCAAACCTACCCACTCAACGTCAGCGTGACCACCCGGTTTGAGGAAGTAATGGCAAAAGTAAAGAGAAGTAAAGCAGCACTGTAAACTTAGCCGTGGCTTGGTTTCCCGACGCATACACAAAAAGGAGGCTCAGTATCCACATTGGCGGCGCCAAATCCTGTCGTGACGAACTGACCCGGTCGTGATGCTCTGAATGTTTCATGTTGAGGGCGCCGGACGGGAGGAAATTGGCAGCCACGCCGCAGCGGCGCAGCCACACACATCTCGAGGCGGTCCTAGACACGAAACACGAAATCCGAGATGTAAACATGCACAACATGCAAAACAGGGTTCAAGTGTGGAGGCCATCGCTATTAGATAGTCTGATGGTTCAATTCGGGCACCTGATACCAGATGCGGGCAAACTCCGGGAAAGGCTTCCAAGGGATATCCCGGGAGAGCCGCAGAAAGAAAAACCTCAGTGATGCGAACCAATTTTTTTCACGAAGCGGCAGACGAAGGGAACGTTGTCGGCTTTTTGACACAGCCCATGTATTCCTAGCGCAATTGCAAGGCTATAGAGCTAGCAAATTGGAGGCCATCGCTACTAGGGGCAAAGGGCATCGCTACTAGTAGCAAGAACGCTACTAGTAGCTCCTGGCCTTACTACTAGTAGCAAGGACAGCTATTAGGGGCTCCTGGCATCGCTACTAATAGCAAGAACGCTACTAGTAGCTCCTGGCCTTACTACTAGTAGCAAGGACAGCCATTAGGGTATATTAGGGTATATTAGGATCTTCTGGCCTTATATACTACTAGGAACAAGACGCGATTAGGGGCTCCTGGCATCGCTACTAGGAACAAGTGCCTTACTACTAGTAACAATAAGAATATAATTAGAATTGTAATTACTAGCTTCTTGTTACTACCAGTAAGGCACTTGTTACTACTAGCGTGGCACTTGTTACTAGTAGCTT